ATGTACAGGTATTATATAATATGGTTTGTATTTTTCGATTTATTTTCTTTTTCATTTGATAGTAAATAATATGAATTGATCTTTAACGTAACAATGAGTTTATATTCTTTATATTAATTCTTCGTGACTATCAGGGAAGCTCTCAAAATTCCTGTGATAGCTAACGGAAATATTCTTTACTTTGAAGATATTCACCGATGCTTAGATGCAACTAGCGCTGATGGAGTTATGTCTGCCGAGGGTAATTTATACAATCCGGCTATATTTTCTGGAATTAACCCCCCAGTATGGCAAATGGCAAAAGAATATTTGGAAATTTGTCGAACTGTTCCCACTAAGATTTCATATATACGGGGACACCTTTTTAAGATTTATAGACCAGCTCTCCCATTTCACGTAGACTTGAGAGAACAATTAGCTAAAGTTAATACTCTTGATGAAATTTGTGCTTTATCGGAGAAATTACAGGAGAGATTAATGGTAGGTTTATACTTGAAGATTAACGATTAAAATTCGTTTTTTTTTTTCTTATGGAAATGATTGTTTTTATAGAAAACTGCAAAAGAATCAAGCGTCGATTCAAAAATTCATAAAGATGAAAATGGTTTCAAGATATTTCCACACTGGATTTGTCAACCTTGTATAAGACCTCCCATAAAAGAAAATGGTAATTCAAAATTATATATATAATAAATTCAAATAACGTTTCGATAATTTTACTAGAACAGACAGAAAATAGTGCAAATACATGAATCTTTTTATAAAATATCAATAAATTAAACGATTCAAATATATTCTGATATAATAAAAGATGATAATGTGTAGAAAGCAAAAATTTATATAAAGAAAAAAAAACTAGTCTGTAATTTTCGCCTTTTGATCACGTCGGATATATTCACGTGAACGTACATCGGCTTGTCTAGTGGGTTCCGGGACACGATACCGACAACATTTGAGCACAATTTGTATGGAGGTTTCAAGACTTATTTTATGCCCAATTGAAACAAAAATAGGGTTTGTAGTGCTATCCAAACTTCGAACGGCCTTTAGGAAATAAATTATGAAAATTAGCCAAGAACCCAAATTTTAAAGATGATATATTATTTGATACATACTGCGCCCCAAATCATTCCGGAATGTCCTTGAAGAAGATAAGTATCACCACCTTTTTTCAATTTTTCTCTTACTGTTGCCTTTACATGTGCCATTGTTAAATATTCACCATCATCAATTTGTAAAAAATTTTTCCCAACACCAATTGTAGGAACATTGGCAAGCACACCTAAATGGCTTGCCAAACCAAATCTTCTTGGATGTAATATTCCATTACCATCAACAATTATAACTTGAGGAAATATATCAGGATTTCTGTGCTTTAAAATTTGAAGTAAATCAAGTAAAGGTGCAACTTCACGAAAGGCCAAGAATCCGGCCATGTAAGGAATTTTTAACTTTACGGACGAAAAATTTTCATAAATCACCTATAAGATAACGCAAATTATTGATATTTATTTAAGAATGTAACATAATTTGATACCAAACAAGAATACCTCTAAGCTGGGATACTTCAAAACAACCAAAGCTGCAATAGCGTCCTCTTCATAATTCTCAATAAAACTAATGTCAACCCCTCCAATATAATTCAACCCCCTGAATTCTACAATATTCTCGCCGTTAACTATCTTTGTAAAATTTAAAGAATCAGTCTCTATCAACTTTAATTTTAATTCGGATTGCACTCTATTCAAAAATAAAATAAAAAATTTAATTTCTTGCAAAGTTTAGAAATTTAATTTTTAATTTTTAAAATTTACCTTGCCCATTCTTCCCTTTGCGCTATCGAGGGATTATTGTTATACTTTTCCATTCATGTAAAATTTAAATTACAATTTATATAGGAGTTTTCCCGACTCAGGGTCAATCAATTAGATAAACAAACAAATGACATTCTTCCTTATTTGACGTCTTTAGAGTTACCCCAAAATTTTCACATAAGAATGGATCCTTCAGATAATAAAGTCACAACTTTGGAAGAGCTGAAACTACTTAAAAATAAGTTACAAATTCGTAGAGACCGTTTTGGAAGGCGTGACAAAGATACTATTAATGAAAACGAAAGTTCTTTCTTTCGTAATGCTAATTTAAGCGCAAGCGTTAACAATGAACTCATTTCTCAGGTGGGACCGTCTTCAATGTCAAGTACGCGAACATATTCCCCTGAATCAAGTTCAAAAGAACCATCAAATATAGAGTATGAAAAACTTGTACGTGAATATTTTACAAATAATTTACATAGTAAATGCACTTTCCCGATAGAATCTTATGAACTTTTGAAAAGGTTAGTTAGTAGTCTAGTTCATTAATTGTATTAAGCTCACGTTTAAGTTATTGGGGTTTCTAACTTACATTATCAATCAGGCTTGCCACTTGGCAAAGCGTTCGAACCATTCCTTTTACAAAAATATCACTATATAACCTCGAAAAAGCGCTAAGGACATTATCAAATATATGGGGTCCTAATGTTATGTTAATTAAAGAGAAACAAATTGGCAAAAGTAAGAGACTAGTGGTGGAAAAAGTTGATATTGAGAAATTTGGCGTAATAAATGTTTTTGAAAGGTTCGATTATATGATCTTAATAAAATTATTTATTTCAAACCATAAATAAGTTAATCTTTAAATTTTGTGGGAAATAATATTAGCTCTATAGAATCGGATGATCCTTCAATGCTTGATAAATCATTACAACTAACAACTTCGGTGAATGGTAGTAAAAAACGAAAAATTGAAGACCTAACTGATGATACTGGTAATTTTAGGATTATTCGTAGTTCAAAAAAAAAAAAAAAAAAGGTTTCAAGTAATCATCGTTAATAATGAATTATATTATCATTTATTAGCTTTAAAGGAAATTAATGAACTTCTCGATAAACCTTCATTTAAAGAAGTTGAAGAGAAACAATCACTTTACGACCTATGCATAATGTTGGATAAAAAGTCATCGAAAGATAAATTGATAATGGAAATGGTAGATAAATGAAGTAAAAGTTGCAAAATGTAACATGCTCTTTTTGAATGATGCAATATAGATTAACGCGTTTTTTAAATAGTTCCGTTCCACTAATAATTCCTTCCGAGAATTTTGTGTATATGGTACGAAAGTTGATTGTAGAAAACAGCGGAGAACAAATCGAGCATGTAACAGGGTTAGTAAATTTCATTAACATCATTGTATAAATGTGATCACCTTTATTGATATAACGTATAAATAGCTCCATTTCCGACCAATGCTTCGTTCTCATACAGAATTGGACCTTGGTGATTGTTCTTATTTGAATACTTGTCATCGTATGGATACATGCAAATATGTTCATTATGAACTCGATGATGATGAGGAACATTGGACATACGAAAAGCGGAGGCAAATCCCACCTGCTGTGGCAAGTATCACAAAATTTTTGTTTAATAATTACAAGATTGACGCGTAAACATTTGTAAATTAACATGTATAGATTATTTTTGGTTAAAGGTTTTTACACCACCAAAAAAAGTTGTGAGTAAAATTGTTTTATTTCATTTGAGTATGCTTGCGTTGAATTCGAATTTATTTAACTTTGGTAACTATTAGCTTCCACCTCAATGGATAAATTGTGATGTACGAAAATTTGAATTCTCGATTCTTGGAAAATTTACCGTGATTATGGCAGATCCACCATGGGATATTCATATGACGGTAAGCTGTAATAAGATTGAATAATTCCAATGTGATAAGATAACTAAAGTAAAATTTATGTAGCTCCCATATGGAACCATGACTGATGATGAAATGAAAGCTATGGCAATTTCTGATTTGCAAGATGATGGGTTGATATTCTTATGGGTTACAGGAAGAGCAATGGAACTTGGAAGAGAATGCTTGGCTATCTGGGGGTAAAATATTATATATTTTTCGTATAATTTTGTTTAATTAAAGGGTCCTTATGATAGGTAAATTCATTTAGATATGAACGTGCTGATGAACTTGTTTGGATCAAGACTAACCAATTGCAGAGACTCATTCGAACGGGACGAACGGGACACTGGTTAAATCATAGCAAAGAACATTGTCTCGTCGGAATCAAAGGCAATCCTGAAGGTTTAAATTGGGGACTTGATTGTGACGTGTTGGTTGGAGAAGTATGAATTGCTTTAAATAATTTATTAATGCTTAATTTCTTATTCGCAAAAAAAAAAAAGTATGAATTTTTTTTTTCAATTTTAAAGGTTCGAGAGACAAGTCGCAAACCAGATGAAGTCTATGGCTTGATTGATCGTTTGGCTCCAGGAAAACGAAAATTAGAAATCTTTGGGCGTCAACATAATACTCGCCCCGGATGGATGACGCTTGGTAATCAATTGGATGATGTCCGTTTATACGAGAATGATGTCTTTGAAAGATTTAATGAACGATATCCGGAAAAACCGTGTCGTCTAACCCAATTACCTGCGGATTATTAACTTTGCAATTGATTTGATTTTCATTTTTCAGTTTAAAATTTCATTAAACATAAAATAAAATTGATTCTAAAAATTATGTAGAAATATTTTTATTTTTTTTTTAATGTGCAGTAGCTTATTGGAAAAAGTAACACAGAAGTAGTACAAATCAAAGAAAATACAAAGAGATTTATCTAATAACTAGCCGTCAAAAGCCCTTCATTGAATCAACGGGAAATAAAAAAATACCAGAGATAAATAAGGATGAACAACCAACCAGGCTTTGGTTGAAGACTACTTTTTCATTTAGGCAACCCATGTCACATCACGCAGTTCTAATGTAGGTAACATCTCTAGAAAGAGCTGTATTTCTTTTTCCTTAGATATGATGATGAAAACGAGTTCTTTTGATGCACTATGAAATAAAACACAAAAATTTGAAAACCAAGAAAGGGATTATGATTATATACGAATAGATTTGTGATTTATGTTTTACCTGAAGCCAGTTTAGTGGCATGTTATTATCATTCTTTGGAGTTTAACCAACAAAAAAAAAATCCTTCTTTTTCTAATGCACTTTTTAATTTTTCGGCATTTACTAACATTTTTGAATCATCATCATCGTCACCATTCCAAAGTCCTAAAATTGCACCACCAGATCCAGTGAATTTGGCGGCAAAATTACATTCCCTAGCCAATTCAATCATACGTAAATTCATTTGACCTAAAAATTGATCACCAAAAATTTCGCGTCTTAAATCGAAATTTTTATTCATAAGTTTAGCAAGTTCTTTCCTCTTTGATCTGTTATTATTAATTAAAATTTGACGTGCTTGCTCGGCAAATGATGCGAATCGTTTCATCGAATCAATTGTTTTTCGATCACCTGCTTCATATCTCTTTCGTACATCGTTATGAATTTTACCGGAATCACTAGGATTTGATTCGTAAGCAATCCATAATCCTTTTGGTAATAAACTAACATCTAACCTTTCATAAATTCCAAAACCATGTTTTATCATATGATCTTCATCAAAGTTCATATATATTAATCCTCCATAAACTTGAATAACACGATCTTGTAACCCAGCAGAAATATTTAATTCATCATTTTCAACGGAAAGAATTAAATTGGCTTGTATAGGTAATGGAATGATTTTATTAGAAATGTTAAAAAAAAACATTAAGGCTTTCCAAAATGCCGATATGATAGCGGAGGAACCCGCCAAACCGACTTGTCTTGGTATATTAGTAATAAAATGAATTGAAAAACCTCGTTGATTAAGAATGATGTTATTTTTCAAACAATATTCTAAAAATACTTTACAAGTAGCTTGTAATAAACAATAATTTTCATCGTACCCTTTATTTTTAGATATTTCAACTAAATGATCAATTGAATCAAATGATAAATTACAATCTTTGTTGAAGGAAGAAGGGGAATGAAAATTAATATTCTTGTAACCTTTTGTATTATAATTATTATTACTATTACTATAGGAATTTGGGGTTAAAGTTAATTCAACAAAAAAATTTGAAATTAAAAGGGAGATGCATTTTCCATTGTAACCATCTGATGGATTTCCTATAAGACCAATTCTAGCATAAGAACGAGTTGTTATCGTATTTTCTCGATTTTCGAGGGGTCTTAAATCCATATCTTACTTATTTATTTATTTTATTTAATACAGGGAAATGAAATTAACGTTATTCAAAAAAAAAATTTTTTTTTATCCTTTTAAATTTAATCCTTTTGTGGCCCAATCATAAAATAGGAAATAAGAACGTGATAATTTTTACCATTTTTGAACAGAAGTTAAATTATATACTTGAATCGGCCAAAAAAAGTTATGACTATAGATTAGATACAAGAAATTTTGCATGAAATCAGTTGACAGCAAAGTGATACGATCATCATGCTCCGAATATATTCGGTAAGTATATTGTTCAAGGCCATTGTCATCGAGAAGATTATAAATATGGGGAGGAAAGTATTTTTTTTCTCTTCAATAAAAAAAAAAAATTATAAAATTAAGAAAAAAAAATAAAAACAAATAAAAAAATAATAATAATAAATAATGTCGATTTCTCAAAACCTTCCAATGGAAATTGTAATTGCGATATTATCATTTGTACCAGCTAAATCTCTTTATAGATATCGTTGTTTATCAAAAGAATTAAAATTTGAAATTCACAAAATATTAGTTGAAAGGATTAAGGATAATTTCAAATCGGGAAAGAATTATTTACTGGTAATTTTTTATATTGTTTAATCATTTTCAAGTTTAAATTAATTAATTACAAATAATTAATTCCTTATAATCATTATGTAAAGGCTACCATTGAACCTTTAGATACTCATAGTTCAGGACCAACTCACATATTTGATTTAATCTTGTTAGACATTAATTTAAACACATTAGAAATTAGGTTCAAGATAAATACAAAATTGAATAATAATATATCATGTCCAAAAATAATAGGTAGAAAATTAGAAGGTACAGGTATCTGGGAAACAACAAGACAAAATGTTGATATAAGTTTAAAATCTTCATGGACACCTTTTAATGTTGATCATCATTCTGCTGATTTAAGTAAGTTTGCTTCTTTACACGTTTTTTCTCCTATTGATTTAAGTCATAAGGCTACTTTTGTTGCCAAAGGTATCGTTACTTTTAATATGGATATCAAACCTGAAACTTTGGTTTGGTGGAAAAAACCTATTGATATTCATAATCAAGCAATTCTAGTTGTTAGAAATACGATTGGTGAATTTGATGTATTTGATTCTATAATTGTAATGGCTTATGTTGAAGAGGTGGTTATAAAAGCGGGTATTTTATTAACTGCCATGGAAGAAAAATGGAAGAATGCTGTTACAAGCGTTGTAATTGAAGACTTTTATGAATAAAAATTCTAAAAATTTTTTTTTTTTAATAGTTACAAAGTATACATACAATTTTTTGGGGATTACATTTGTTTAAATAAATACAGTTAGAAAAAAATATTATACATGTCATGTCAACTGAAAATATGTATGATGGATTGAAATTATAAAAAAAATTATTTTAAAAAATAAATAAATAAATAAATAAAATAAAACTATCTAAATTAAATTATTTTGCTATTAAAGAAATTTAATCACCACACCTAAAATACCTGCTGCTTAAAAGTATTTTTAGTGATCAAATCTATCTTATAGTTCGTCCGTCACACATACTATTATGACTAAAGAAAATTTATTTATAAAGGAAAAGAGACGCATCATCAAATGATATCCCGTTAAAAAAAAAAAAGGAAATATAATAAACTATACTAACAAAAGAAAATAACAATAAAATTTATACAGTAATTCAAACGAATAAATGCCCGAATACCCACTTTCTACAAGAATAGAGCATATATACTGCATAATATAATAAAATAAGAAAAATACATACCAACTACTATGTCTAAATAAAGTAAGCATTCAGAAATTACATTATATAGAACGAAAAAAACTATATATACTTTTTTTTTTTTGCAAATAATATGTACTAAATAATAAGTAAGTTCTTGTGTTCGTCCTTAATTTAAAATTCATAATCATTATAAATTTAAGGATAAGAGGATCCGAATTAAAATTAACTCGTCATCAGAATGCCCTGATCCCGCAATATATGAATAAATTTGGAAAACTTCTATATATATATAAAATAATAATAATAATTAAAAAAGAATTTGGGTGTGTAGTATCTCATTCATTATTGTTGAGCTTGGACTGTGACTTCGACTTGACTAACAGAAGACTGTGTGAGCGATTCGGCAACAATTTGTGGCGATGATTGCGCCTGCGCATCACTACCGATAGATGGCGATTGTTGTTGCTGTTGTGAAGATTGTTCTTGCGATTGCTGCTGTTGCTGAGATTGTTGGTTATTTGGTTGTTGCTGTAATAATTGTTGATGCTGTTGTAAGAATGCAAGCATTGGTGCACTTTGCATGTTAGAATTACCCGGGGTAGGTGGTGTATTCATCATTGGTGGTGGCATAGCACTTGTAGCTGCGAGCATATAAGGATAAGCTGCTGGGCTGAACATTGCGGCGGGATGTCCATACATTCCAGCTGCTACTGCCGCTAATGCTGATGGATGGATGAAAGGTGGGAAAGGACTCATGTGCGGATAAGGTGAAGTAGGTGGAAATGGTGAATGAGGATGAGGAGACATCGGCATATTATTCATAAACATTGGTGTTGGTGGATATGCAGACGAAGGCGTGGATGCTACAGATGTGGAGACTTGTGCAGCTGAATTTGATGATGATCCCTCGCTTGAAGAAGGATGGATTGAAGATTGAGATCCAAGTTGTTCATGTGAGGCACCATTAATTTCCGGTGATGGAGTTCCTGAAGCAACTTGCTGCAATTGTTGATTTGCAAAAGCAGCTTGTGCTGCAGCATAATAAGCAGCAGCGGCAGCTAAATCTGGTGGCAAGGGATTAGGGAACACACCTTGTGGAGGAATACCAACTTGAGAAGGTACGGAATTCAAAGGTGTACTACCAAGAGTTGGATCTCCTACCATACCTAGTTCTTCAAGTAGGCGTTTATATCCTTGTACTTGCTGGACCTTTAATTTTCCCAAGACAAATTTCACTTTTTCGGCTAACCGTGTCTTTTCAGAAGGATCTACATATGGACTGGCCAATACCTTTTGTACAACACCAACTCCGTGAACTTGATCGCTAAGTACATCTTCTAACACTTGGTCATTTGCGGAGAAAAACAATGACGTGATCGTAAGGTCACGTGCATCTGGTTCTTGTCGTTGATTAATAATCTTGAGAACAGTCAGTGATGCGAGCTTGTGTGTACATAAATGTGCTAAATGAGGAGCAAGGCGTGGAGCTAAAACACGATAGCGACCAGGGAATGAAGAAGTATCAAGCATCCATGTTAATAATAATGCACCGTTCGGATTAGTAGATAATGGCACAGCATTCATGACAATAGAGATTGCTACTTGTTTCTGAAAAAATAAAAATAAGAGATTATATTAGAATCCTTCAAAATTAAATAAAAAAACTTTTTATTATAATACCTCACCTGCTGCTTTTTAGTTACATGTTGACTTTCTAAACAGGCTCTCATTGCACGCGCACCAAAACGGCCTTGTGCTATTTCCCAACATCGATCTACCATTGCATCGAAAATAAATTGATTACGTTGAGCGGTAAGGCGTAAGCAACATTGTACTACATAATTTCCAAATTGGTCCAACAGGAGCGGAGGAGTATATGCCTTGACATTGGAAGTAATGAGTTGCATCTAAAGGAAAATAAATAATAAATGAATAATAAGTATTTTATGTTTATGATCTAACTATTAAAAACATGATGTATAATATTTAGGAGTTGCATACTTGAGCGGGAGTTTTGGCGCAATCAATGATTTTTTGTGCAGCCCAAGTACCGTTCTTGTGAATACCAATGGTAGCCAAATGAGGAGCGATCTTTTCTAGCATTTTAGTCTTTGTATTCTCAGTACAACGTTCAAATAACTTTTGAATAACTGTGTTTCCAATGTAATCTAAATAATAATAACAAATTAATAAACACAATTCTAAAAACAGACAAATAGATATAAAATTTTATTTTACCACTTGATAATTCAACACATTCATCTAAAACTTCAGCAGCGATAGCTTCAACTTCCTTAGCGGCACAATGTCCACTGTCTAAACGTTTTCGAATTTCTCTTAACCTAGAAGCATCTGGTTTGCGGTTTGGATTGGGATCTCCAACAGGTGGGATAGAGGTGAAATATGTTGTAGGAGGACGATTTTCTAAATAATAATAATAGTAATAATTAAAAATAGGTACTACGTATCGAAAATGTTAAATGAAATTATGTTAACTTACCATTAACGTCGTCAATGTCGTCATCAACTCCGCCACTTAATTCACGCATCATCAATTGTTTCTCGGTAAGACCATTTGCGGTATTATTCGTTGCACCTGAAATCATCATCCTCATCATATTATTATGATAATTTTCAACAGGTCCGTTCCATTGACCAGAATTTTGGTTATTAGAAGAGGATGATGAGGACGAAAGATTTCTAATATGACGCATAGCCGGAGACCCTGGTTCGGGAGTCGATGTAGGAGAGGGTTTAGGTTGTACCTTAGCAAAACCAATTCTGACAGGACCAACAGCACTTCCAAGAACCTCTTTACCATGCAAAGCTTTCTTTGCTTTGACAGCATCATCCAATTTCTCGAAATTAACAAAACCACAATTCTTATGCGTTAGGACCCTGGCCGATTCAATTGCTCCAAACGGTGAAAAAATATTCTGTAAGGTCTGAGGTGTTGTGGAAGTAGGAATATTTCCAACCCAAAGAGCCCGTGTGGGTTGAAGTTGAGTTTGAGATGAAGGTGACAGGTCATGATTGTTCAATGCATCAGCTTTACCGTAACCGACACGAACAATACAATTTCCAACACGTCCTCCCATTCTATTCATAATATCATCTTTAGCTCTAACAGCATCCTCAACACGAACAAAATTAACAAAACCACACTCTTTATCAGGTAAAAGTCTAAGACTTTCAATGGATCCATATGGTGAAAAAAGTTGCATAAGGTCCTGAGTGCTAAGATTTGGGTCAATATTTCCAATCCATAAAGAACGAGTTGGTGTCTGCGGTGGAGGAGTGCCTTGTTGTGAATGATCAGAAGTATGATCACGCGGGGTAGAAACGCCAGATCGTGGCATCTTTTTTTTTTTAAAGTTGGGAAAGTGTAACGACGTTAACGATAAATTATAGGCTAAAGTTAAGTTGACGATTATGAAACTTTAATATCATACCTCCATATCATCATGATCAACTAACAAATAATCATCATCCATATGAATTGCTTGTTGTTGCTTCTTTTTACCTTCCATAGCGCCAACGAGCATCATTCCCAACAATTGTTCACCTCCAAGGGATCTAGATGAACTTGTAGTTCCCACACCTTTATTGGAATCAGGTAAATCATTATACATTTGACTATTTCTACTTTGACGCATCATCATAATATCATTAGGCAAATCTAAAATTCCCAAACTAATGGCGCGAGGTCTGGAATGGGTTTGATGGAATTGTTGGACTGCAGCAGAACCCGGAGGAAATAAATTATTTGTGGTCATAGTAGTGGTAACAGGTGGTTCATCATATTTTGCTGTTGCAGAAACAGAATAAGAACGTATTCTGTTTGCATCTCTACGAAGAGCAGGAATATTTGGAATACTACCACCAGAGGAAGTGTAGGAAGGAGCAGAATTTTTCATTTCAACTTTAATTTGCGGAAGGTTACCAGAACTTGTAGAAATTTTTGAAAGTCCTGAACCACCACCATGTTCATGATCATCTAAACCTAAATAATCTAAGGTTTTACCAACAGTGTTATTTTCATCACCACGAAGCAAATCACCCGTAGTAGGAGTTTGCATAGGTGGAGTTGGGGGACCGTTCGACTCACTTCGATGATCTGACCATCCAGAAGTAAAAATAGATGGTCCAAACGCAGCAGAAAGAGATGAAGATGGTAATGTAAGTGATCCTGAACGAAGACGAGAATTGGCTTTAGGAGGAGTAAGTAAATTTGCGGCAGACGAAGGATTCATAGAATTAGACATTGATAAAGAGGAAGTGGGATTATGTCCATGAATAATAGGAGGACGTGACAAAGAAGAAGGTAAAGTATCTGCACGTGTACGACGAAAAGAAGAAGGATATGAAGACAGATGGTCTTGGCTACTACCATTTGGGGTAGAAGTTTTAGTACCAACTGACTTCAAATTTAAAAATTCAAGGGATGCACTAGCAGCAGAATCTGAAAGAAGGGTTCCATTATTAAAAGCTCCATTTGTAGAGAACGATGGAGGAGGAAGAGCACCGGAACGATAAGCAGAAGTGATACCTTCTTCTGCTTGAATTTCTCTAGCTCTTTAATTATAAAAATTGAGAACATTAATAATGACAGCCAAAAAAAGTGTAACCCATACGCTTGTAACACAAATTTTTTTTTTAAGCAGCACGCAAGTTTCTCTGAAATGCCAACATAAAAGATTTGCCTCAGCTTACAAACCTACCTTTTAGAAAAATATCTAGTTTCGTGTTGAGGCGAGTTACCGGAATTGTTTCCAGTTGAATATGAATCTTTGTCTGACTGTTGCGTGGTCATTCTTATCAAGCTCTTTTTTTTTTTTTTTTTATAAATTAGTTGCGCATCAGATTTTGCCCAGCAAAAACGTGATTGGTAATTAATAAGCCCAAAGTTTTGTTTTTTAAGGCAATAGAATAAACCCGACTAACCGCAGGTCGTAAAGTCTTTAAATATTATACTATAGGGTTTTTTGTGTAACGGGTGAATTGAATTGGTCTTTGAAATTACAACACCCAACTGAAATTAGTACAGATTAGTAAACAGAAATAAGCAATTAACTTTATATAGGGGATTTTATTATTAGGGGTACACTGAGAGCGATAAATATTATTAATATTAAGTAGAATATTATATTAAAGATTAAGAAGTAGAGAAGCTAAAAAACAACCCTCCACCATAAAACTTAAAATTAAAAAAAAAAGAACAAATAAAAAAGAAACTGTGTAAGAAAAAAAAAGCCCCAGCGAAAAAAATATCAGTACACAAAAACCCTGAAACCAAGCATAAAGCGTGCTTTCACTATGCTACCCAAAACAGTGAAAAGTTCCGAATTGGTTATGTTGATATTTGATAAGGTCATCACAATAATAGCATTCAAACAACAAGATCAACCAATGAAATGATTTCGCAATTAATAAAGAAACTATTATTCCATTCTTTCCATTCTTTCCTTGAAACCTTTTTAGCTTTTTGTACAGAAAAAAAAAATTTTTTTTTCTTGAATTCCTTTCTTAGTCCTTTTAGCGCCCAAAATCAAAAATAAAATCCGATCATACATTTGATAATTCGGATCTTCTCGTTCTATAAATTTTTTGTTGCTTCAAAATTCTAACATATATTAATGTCTATAAAAATGTACTAGTTACTTTATCATTTCAAAAAAAAACGGTTAACCGTTACCTTTTCTAAAATCACAATATCTATATTATGTCTAAAAAAACGATCTTGAGATAAATTTTGATGTTCTCATGCCTAAACCAATAACAATCTGTTATCTGCCTATACAAATTACTTTAAATCGTAATGGTTGGTTATACAGCATAACTTTAATGTATCCATTTCAGACATGAAGAACTAAAAAAGCCACATTGAAAATTAATATCACATTATTTGTCTATAAATAGGATATTTTTAAAGACTAGTTGTTTGTACAAGAAATAATTAATAAATTAGGTAATTAGGTAATTAGGTCATTAAAAAATATTTGAAATAATAGAAAAAAATAAGGTTTATAGTAGTTTTTTTTAAAGCAGATTGACAAATTAATAAATCGTTGAATATTAAAATTTTAACTATTATAATATTAATTATAATTGATAATTATTTAAATTTTAAATTATAATTATAAGAAAGATTTTTAATTCCATTTTTAAAGTTTGTATTTATTAGTAATAATACTTATTAATTTAAAATTCAATTTATTTAAAATTTTTAATTTATTTTTTTTAAAAATCTAAACCTTTATTTATTATAAATAATTAATTAATTATAATAAATTAATCCTATTTTTAGATATTTTTATAATTCTTTAATTTTGATTATAAATATAATAAAAATAAAATTATAATTATTATAAATTTATTTATAAAAGATGCCTTCTTAAACTATTTTTAGGTAATTTTAAATTTTGATTTATTTATTTAAACTTTTATTAGGTTTTTTTATACTTAATGAAGTTTAATTAAGTATAAATTTAAAAAAAATTCATTTTAAAGGTTTTAAAAAAGTTTTTAAATTTTTAAGCTACATATTAAAATAAATTTAAAATAATATTCAGTTAAGGAGTTTACTATTTATCATTAGTGATGATTATTACTTATGTTGAATTAACTAATGTAATTGAAGTTTTTATTATCTCATATGATTGGTAACATTAAAGTAGATGAAATAAATATTCTTTAGTGATAAAAAAAATTACAAATCCCTAGAATACATAGTAAAAATGAAAATAGTGAAGTGTAATATTAATAATAACCTTTATAACTTTTATTATAAATTTTATAAATTTATATAAATTAAAATTAAATATTTTTAAAATAAATATCTTTTTTAAATTTAATTGATAATTGAATTATTAAATTAAAATTTGCTAATTATAAATAAAATAATTTATTTAATTTAATAAAATTAAAAAATAAAAATTTATTAGTCTAGAATAAAGCATAAAACTAAATATATTAGAATACCTAATATCTTAATTTTTATCTGCTTAAAAGTTGAATCAATACGTAATTAGCTACTTTTATTACATAAACTCTAGACTTAATAATGATTTCTATTCTCTAATTTATAATATGAGAGCTTTGCAGTAGAAAGGAAAAAAACTCTAAAAAAATTAAAATTTTACTTTCTAAGCTAATTATAATTTTTTTTAGTAAAATAAATTCAAATTTAACATTAACTCAAAAAAAATTTTTTTTAGAATTTTCTCTTTTTTTATTGCAGAGCTTTCATATATTTATGCTTTCATATATTTATACAAAAATTACAAATATTATTTCTTAAACTATATAACAGACAAATTTGCCTACAAAATTAAAAAAAAAGTGTTAATTTCTTTATAAAATATTAAATATTAATTTTAATATTATTATTATTATACATAAAGTTGAAATGAATCATTTTAGATATTTGAAATAATCAATATTTAAACTTTTAAATATCCTAAAGTCATATTGTTTGAAATGATATAATATCACATGATTTTTCATATATAAAAAAATTTAAAAAAATAAAAAATATACAATCTTAATTAATACTACTTTGATTCTTGTGAATAAACTACCATTCAATTTCTACTGACTAAATAGATCCAATTAGTTATATTACATTAATTTCTGATTAGCCAATCTTTAGATAATTGCAATTGAATTATCAGCTGTAATTATAATTCAAATAAATTTAACTTTAAATAAAAGATTCAGATTTTTTAAATACAATCATAATTATTTTAAGATTGGCTAATTAGAAATCAATGTAATATAGCTTATTGAATCCATCTAATCATAAGAAATCAAATGTTAGTTATTATATGAAAATCAAAACAATATTAATCAAATTATATATATTTTTTTAAATTTTTTATATATGAAAAATCATGTGATATGATATCATTTCGACTATTACAACTTTTATTTTGACTTTGATCTCTAAAGTTAAAACATTTCAACTTTTGAGTTTTTATTTCAACTTCATATATAATCATTATTATATAAAAAATACAGTTTAATATATATTTTATCAATTTTATTAACAAAGATTTTAAATTTTTAAAAGTTTTTAAAATAATTTAAAGAGGAGAAGATCCTTTGAAATTAAAATATTATTAATGTTATGAGTGAAGGGTGTATTATTATTATTATTATTAGAATTATTATTTAAAATTATGATGAAAATATAAAGAAGTAAGAGGTAATTATTGTGAGAATTTCTTAATATATGACATAAGTTGAGCCAATTTAAATTTATTAATAATTTTTCAAAAATTCTTTAAAAATTTATATATTTATATATTAATTGAATCACTTTACTATTAATTAATACTAGTCAATCAATGACAAATAGTAGACAGATCAGATCAAATTTGTGTTGTCAGATTTGATTGATTAGTCTTCTATTTTTTTTGTTTTTTAATATTAAGTAATTTTGATTGATAATATATAATGTAAATAGAAAATATTAGAATTCTAATCAGGATATTATAAAGATATTATAATAGTCAGTTCTTTAATATTGCTTAAATATTATAAGCGAACAGATAATATAAGTGGTAAATAGAAGGTTTAATTTATAGTTGAGATAAGGTAAAATGTAGATATTAATCGTTTATTTGATATGTAATAACAAATGAGTACTGCCTTAACATCAGCACTCTGTATTATACAAATATTCTAATAGATCAAACTAAACTATTTAATAATTTAACTTATCTAAAAATAAACTTAATGGTACTTTTAACTAAAGAATTCTCAGCTATATTTATATAAAATGAAATATATATGTTCGTCAACAATGTTAACTTAATAAAATAAATATAATAAATAAACTGTAGAAAATAGATAAAATAAATAAACTAAAAAAACTATGTAAACGAGATAAATAAAATAAATGACGTTAACAATGTCAACTAAGTTTTAGTGATCTATATTATAAAGATCTTCTAAATAATTTTCATGTAAAAATATCAATAGGATTATTCTTATTGATATCAATTTATTAACATTCAGCTTTTAATTAGGTTATCTCTAAGTCATCAATAAGAATATACTTATAGTTTTTTTTTAAAAAATATGTAATAGTTTCGCTTAATCTTTATTGAAATAATAAATTTATACAGAAGTATAAAAACAAATACATGAAAAAATAAAAATTTTATCTAATCTAATTTAAACTGTTAAACAATAAAAAAACTAAACTAAATCAAAACTGACCTTGCATATTTCCAGACTAATTATCTGTAATATAAATAATCTTATCAATCTAGAGAAAAAGCTTGGTTACTACTGATTCAAAATCCAACCAGGAGATACTGTAGCAGAAAGTATCTTAAAATATTGTAGAATATCTGCAGAATGGTTGTTTGACGATTTTATGAATTCTGATAAATGCCAGTTAGTCTTTTTTTTAGTGAGTGTAATGTTATGAGTAATTTCGTATAACTTGAGTAAAATATATCTCACTTTCCATATTTTATGAATGAGTTTGTAGATATAGTGATAAATAAGTAAGCGAAAGTATTATGTTAGTAAGATAGGAAGATTTGATGAGTGTGTTAACTTTATTATATAAGAGCGTTTCCAGTAAAATCACATTACGGTTCATAGGATTTACTATGCCTTATGACTTAATTTTACTGGAAACATTCCTATATAGAGAAATAGTGATAATATCTTTGATCATGTCAATAAATATATATTTTGATTTATAGTATGAAAATTTTCAAATGTCATCAATTAATAATAGTCTAAAATCTGTTATAAGATGTTATCTGTAACTATAGCTTGTTATATTGTGTGAAG